ACCCCCCCCGGCTGGCTTCGAGGCTAGGGGACAGGTGCACACCAAGGAGAGCAGACGGCGTCCAGAAGCTGGGCAAGGCAAGGAAACAGAGTCTCCTCCAGAGGTTCCGGAGGGAGCAGAGCCTTCCTGACCCTTGGGTTGTTTGATTTTTTTCAATTAAATAAACAATTCTTTTTTTTTTTAAGAATTGTTTATTTAATTTATTCATTCATTTATTTTATTTGACCAGAGAGAAACACAGAGAGAGAAAGTAAAAACATCAAGCCACCAGGTCCACGACTCGATCCACAGTCAACCATGGGAGTGTCCAGCATCCTTAGCACCACGCCACCTGCTGGCCCCCGAACCCCTGGGTTTTAAGCCAGTGCCATCCATTGCTGACTTCAGACCTCCAGAACTGTGTCCACTTTTCTTTTTTAAAGGTTTTTGTCTTAAGGCACGTGAGCTTGCTGGAGAGAGAGACAATGTGAAGGAAAATGAGAAACCACTCCCCAGCGGTGGCCACACCAGTGCTTTCTCTTCCATTCTTCTCCTGGGTTTTGGGCAAACACTGGTGTGATGCTCAAGCCAGTGGATCTCGGACTCCAACCATGGCTGGCCATGTGGGAATCCAGCGCCTTACCCACCACGTTACCTGCTGGCCCATATCCACATTATCATTATTATTATTTAGAGATGTTTGTGCTTGCTGGAGAAATAGAGAGACAGAGAGACAGAAAGCGAGAAATCACCCCCCAGGAGGAATGGCCATGCCACAGTCCCTTCTCCTCCATTCAGCAACTGGGTTAACTTTATTGCACACACCTGTGCCTGGAATCTCAAGCCACCAGCTCCAGAACTTGAACCGTGGTTGGCCTTGTGGGAGTCCAGCAACCTAACTATTATGGCATCTGCTGGTCCCTCCACATTATTTCTTGTCGTTAAATATTTTTTCTTTATTCATGATAGAGGGCACGTGTACACACAATGAGAGACAGAGAAGCACCCTGCACAGACTCCGGTCACGCAGCAAAACCTTCCTCCAGCCCTCCAGCCCTTCGAATCTTGGGCCCTCACATGAACGCCTAACAAGTCTCAGGCTGAGATTCAAACCACAGTGGCCATGTGGGATGGGGCTTCTCCTGAGCAACATCCTACAACTTTGCCATGGAGTCAGCCCTAACCTGCTGAGAACATCCATAGGTATCCTTAAAATACTGTGTTACATTGTATCCACATACAAAGGGACTTCGATACCTTGGTGGGGAAAGGAATTAAAGTGCAAGGCTATCAAGGTGTAAAAAAGTTTTGAAATCCATGCAACAGTTTTTCCCTAGTAATATTTCCTATAATAGTTTATCATTCAGTATCCTTCATAAACGTCTGCTATTTTTTTCATCTTTTTTAAAGAATTATTTTATTTAACTTTATTTATTATTATTATTATTATTATTATTTTTCAGTTTGATCAGAGAGAGACAGAGAGAGAGAGAGGAAGTGAGAAAGCAAGCCACCAGGTCCGAGACTTGAACCGTGGTCAGCCCTGTGGGAATCCAGCGCCTTTAACCACCATGCCACTTGCTGGCCCACCGTCTGCTATTTTGAGCCTGTAAGTTTGGGCAATTTCTTCTAGAAGCCATAGGAATGAATAAGGACTTGCCTCTCGGGTCTTTCCCCTTCTCTCTTGAATAAAGTCAGCGCTAGCAGGGCGGCTTCTCGGTTGCTTCTCGGCTCTGAGCGGACACGGGGAATTCAATACGACCTCCATCCCAGCTCGGTCGGCTCTCCAGGAGTCAGCCCAGCCGGTCACCTCCTTTGCCTTCTCTCAGCACTGACAGCCTTCAACCCCCAGTTTCCAAGGCCCAGCCCTTGCTGTCCTCACCCTCAGCCTCTTCCTCACTCACTCTGCCCCAGACACAGTGGTCTAACCTTTGCACTAGCTGTGCCTTCTCTCTAAAACGCTTCTTGCCCAGATAGCTCTGTAGCTGGTTCCTACACTCAGATCTCAGCTCAGACGTCACCTCCTCAGGGAAGCCTTCCTGACTACCCACCTACTAGACCCCTCACCAGCCAGTCTCTTTTCCCTGTTTTATTTTATTCATGGAAGTTATGGCAAAGCTGATTTTTTTAAAAAGAGTTGCTGTGGGTTGCTTGCACTCACTGGAGAGACAGAGATAGAAAGTGAAAAATCACCCCCCAAGGGGGATGGCCGTGCTGCAATCCCTTCTCTTCCATTCTCCTCTTGGGATTTTGGGCATGCACACACACGCACCTGGCATGAATTTTAAGCCACCGGGTCCGGGACTTGAAGTGCAGTCGACTACATGAGAGTCCAGCGACATAACCATTACACCATCGGCTGATCCTGACAAGCTGATTCTTTTAAAAATCCACCTCTTCATGGGGCCAGCAGATGGTGTATGGAAGTTAAGGTGGATGGATCCCACACAGCCAACTGCATGGTTAGAATCCTGGACCCGGCAGTTTGAAAATCACACTGGGTGCATGTGCACGCCCAAAATCCTGAGAGGAGAATGATGGATAAAGGACTGGTGTGGACATCACCACTGGGAGGGTGACTTCTCACGTTCCCTCTCTCCCTGTCTCTCTGGTGGGTGCATGCTCCTTCTGGCAGAATTTAAATTAGAAAAAAACCAAACTTCTCCTCACATTAAACCGCACTGCCCTGCAGAGCAGCCACTGGCCCACGGGGTCCGTGCCCAAGGGCACTTGCATAGCTGGTCTGAGGTGAGACGGGCAGGAAGGGTCAGACGCATGGGGACACGCACCTGGGTCGTGCAGGGCCGGGTGGAGTCTGGAGACACCGTGGGGACAGGGCAAAACATCTCAGTGACAGCTGTTGGCATCAACTAGTTCATGAAATTGAAGCGTTTTGGATTTACTGGGTTTTAGAAGACATTGTTTCGTTTCTTTTTATTTTTGCAGAAGACACATGTGCTCGCTGAGACAGAGAGAAAGAGAGAAAGAGAGGGAGAGGGAAAGCAAGAAAGCACTTCCCATGGGGGCTGGTCATACAGCAATCCCTTCTCCCCTTTTCCTTTCGGGAATCCGGGCACACGCGTTCATGTGCCCGGCATGTTTTTCTAGCCACTGGATCTGGGATTTGAACACATGGTTGGCATGTGGGATCCAGCTGCCTAACTTCCACACCACCAGCTGGCCCACCATGTACTTCGATGGTGTTATGTTTGGATGATGGTTTGTCCCCCAAAGTTTTATGTTTGGGAATTTGGCGTTGGGAGGTAGTGAGGCCTAGTGGGAGGTGAGGGGATCATGGTGACAGCAGTGTGGAGGTGACACTCTCAAGAATAAACTAATGACGTCCCTTGAGATGAATGAGTCCTAGCTGCTCTAAGAGCAAGCTGCTCGCTCGCTCCCTGCAGGCACCATCCTCTGTGTTGCCATTGGCCAAGCTGTAGGTCTACGCCTCTGGACTTTCCAGACTAAGCAAGGGACGGCGCGGCAGGGCAAGGCCCCCGCTGAGGCTGCCATCCGTCGTGGCCACTGCAGTCTCCCCGGTGCTGGACAGCACCTGGCACACAGTAGGTGCTCAGGAGACAGCTCTGTTGAGTAGAGACGCGAGTGACGTGCATTTATGTCACGTGGCCATCCGTCGTGGCCACTGCAGTCTCCCCGGTGCTGGACAGCACCTGGCACACAGTAGGTGCTCAGGAGACAGCTCTGTTGAGTAGAGACGCGAGTGACGTGCATTTATGTCACGTGGCTCGTGTCTCCAGCCGCTGCTCGCCAGTCTGCCCATGTCCCGTCTTCCCTGTTACTCTCCTGCTGCCTGAGCTGAGCACAGAGCTTCGCTTTGCTCGGCACTGCCCGTGTCACGCCACCGCCCATGTCAGCACTTTGCAGGCTGTGCATGTCCCATCGGCGGGGCTGCGGACTGAGCAGGGAGACAGACACGGTAAGTGTGCGGCCGGGTCTGAGTGGTGGGCAGGGCTGCTGCAGCTCAGTGGAGGAGGTGGAGCAGGAGAAGGGCACACAGGAGCCATGTTCCTGGAACGAGTGACAGAGAGAGAGGGAAGAAAGGGAGGAAGGACCAGCAGACTGGACTAAGGGCATGCTAAGATTTCTGTAGAGGGCCAGCTGGCAGCATGGTGGATAAGATGGCTGGATCCCATATGGCTGACTGTGGCGGTTCGAATCCTGGACCCAGCAGCTTGACACACCAGGGGTGTGTGTGTGTGTGTGTGTGTGTGTGTGTGTGTGTGTGTGTCCCAAATCCGCAGAGAATGGCGGAGAAAGGACTGCAGTGTAGCCATCCTCCCTAGGGGTGCTTTCTCATTTTTTTTCTCTCTCTCTGTCTCTCTCTGACAAGTGCACCTACTCTATAGCAAAAATAAATAAATAAATAAATAATGCTGTGGAAATGTTACCGCACAGAGACTTAAAGGCTTCAGGAAAAAGAAACCTAGAGAAGCCCTCTGGATCCCAAGGAGGGAGAGCGGAGAGGCCTGGGGCTGGCCTGGGAAGGGTTTTGACCTCCACCTGCTGAGAGATCACCCTCACTGTTGACCAACAAGCCCTGGGAGCAGGGGGCACGTGGGTGTTTACTTCCTGGCTGACGGGGCTCCAGAAGCAACAGGTGCAGCTGGCTGCGGATTTCATCTGACTTCAGGCCTCGTGGCCTCCCGTGGCTCCCAAGGGTGTCTCCCTGCCCAGCCACAGCAGAAAGAGCCAGGTCTGGGGACTTGGTGCCGGCGCTCAGTGCGACCTGGGCTAAGCCCTTCGCCCTGTTAACAGCAGGCAGCCGCATGGGAGGATTTCTAAAGCAGCACCGGCAGTAGCAGGGGAGGTGTCTGCAGCGGGGTCCCCCGTATTGGCATGTGAGCACCTCGGGGAGTCCTCTCCAGGCCTAAAAACAAGAACCAGACCTATGGCCCAGCCTGTGTGTAATTGATAGCCAGCTGAACTGAAGTGCTGGGAGCCACGTGGCCAGCCGTGGGTTCAGATCCCTGGGCCGGCCTGAAAACAGGCTGGTGCGCTTGTGGGCCCCGACATCCTACAGAGCTGGAGGGAAGGGTAGGGAAATCATGGCAGGGCGAGACCCTGGGGGTGCAGTCCCCTGCGACTAAAATAACTAACAGACAGCAGTTCATGGCTACCAAGTCCTTGGTATGGGCAGGCTCTGTCCTGAGCTTTTTTTTTTTTTTTTAATTATTTTAAACTTCACTTATTTATTTACTTATTTACTTATTCATGATACGATGTGTGCACTGGACAGAGAGGCAGAGAGTGGAGCGGGGAGAGAAAGCACCCCAGGGGTACAGCTACACGGCAATCCCTTCCCCACTCTCTTCTCACACAAACACGCGCCCTACATGTGTTTTGAACTGCCAGTCCATGCGCTATGCCGCAGGCCACGCGGGATCCAGCACCTTACCCTCCATGCCGCCTGCGGGCCCTGTCCTGGGCACGTCATCTGTTTTAACTCCTTCAATGCTCATCACAATCCTACAAGGTGGGCGCAATTATTAACCTATTACAACTGCAGAAGTCAAGGCACAGAGAGGCTGGGTGCTTAGCTCAACATCACACAGCCTGCGAGTGCTGGGTGTGACAACAGGCTGGCTGCCTCCCAAGGCCCTGCCCAGAATCTTGAGTTATTCACAGGAGGGGTGCACTTTCCAGCCCCCAGTGTGACCTTGGAAATGCTGCAGGGCTCCTGGGAGCTGGAGTTTCCTTCCCGACCCCAGAGCTCGGGGCCCTCGGAGGGCGAGCATGGTCAGATGTGGCAGCGGAGTTCTTCCCCGCGCCGACCCCTCCACCAAGGCTGCAGACCTTGTTGAGGCCGCTTTCCTCGCCACACGCAGATCCAGCAAAGCACACAGTAGGTTCAGAGAGGCCAGGTGTAGTTCCTGAGGCCACACAGCAAGCCAGAAGCGGCTCAGCACCCTGATTCCCCTAGGAAAGGTGGTTCCTCCCATTCCCAGACTGGAGGGCGGCCTGGAGAGGCCCTGGGCTGAGGTTAGAGCAGGAAACCACAGGTCTCCCGCTTCCTTTTCCCCAGGCACTTCCTCTGCACTCGCGGCCAGGGAGGGAGGTCTGATTCGGAGACACTGGCTCTCAGGGAACGAGCTTAGCCTTGATCCTGCCCCCAGATCCCCTCCACCTCGGTCCAAAAGGTGGGAGGAGACACCACAGTGACCTCCACTGCAGCTGGGACTCTCCTACCACTAACTCGGGACAGTCCCGCTCTCCACTTGGACCCTCGGTGTCTTCATCTGTGGAACGAAGACAACCCCTACCTCACAGATGTCTGTGAGGGTGAAAGGCGACATGGCAGGGCACAGGTTAATAACTAGGGGACTCCAGGGAAGAAAGTTCTTTCTGGGTGACACTGAAGGGCAGGGGCATTTTGAGTTTCTAGAAAATAGTATCTCAGCCCTTTACCTGTATCACTCCATCTGACTCCTCCAGGGGAAGGGTTACCACAGTCACCATTTGACAGGTGAAGAAATAAAGCACAGAGAGGTTAAGCAACCGACCCGAAGTCACACAGCTATTAGATGGTAAAGGGGACTGGAACTCAGGTGTGACCGCAGAACTGATCTTATGCTAGGCAAGGAGGACAGCGGCCTCCCTCCCCCTCCAGTCCAGTCCCCTCCAGTCTAGTTCCTGTACACACACGCGCGCACATGCACAGCTGCCCGAAGCTGAAGGGTCCCTGCGTCCCGGCAGCCCCACTGCCCGGCTGGGCAGACTGAGGCCCCTGCCCACCTTCTGGTGCTTGCGCTCCTTCTCGATGCGGTCCATCCTCTCCAGGCGCAGACGGTCCAGCTCCAGGCGCAGCTCGTCCAGCTCGGGCGCGACGTGGTGGCGGCTGACCAGCACCTCCAGGATCTCCAGGACGCGCACGACCTTGGGCATGAGGCGCGCGATGGCCTCGCAGCCGTGCTGGTCGATGACCCGCTCGAACTCGTGGCCCACCAGCGACGCGATGTCGTACACGTCCATGACCGTCAGCTCCGCCACGTTCTTCTCCAGCGCCGACTCGGCCGCCAGCGCCGACCCCCGCTCCTCCTCCCTGGCCCCCCCGCCC